AAGGAGACCCCACCCGCTTCTCTGCCGGCCCCTCCCCTCGTCCAATGGCTACGACCCATAATCAAAGGGGAGACCGGGCACCCCACTCCCGGCCAGCTTTTGGGCTTTCACAGGATCTCCCACTACGGCAATCCCTTCAGTCAGGGGTTGCCAACCTTGTTCTATGTCATGGACCCCTCATCCCCATCCCGGGGAAGCCTCAGAATGATGCGGTGAAGTCAGAACCTAAAACGTACAGCATTACACAGGAAACCAATGAACCTGAAAGTCAGGATATCTGATGGTTTAAAGCATTTAACATTTTAAAAATATGACCCCCATTCACAGATCCTCTCGGGGCCCTAGCTGATGGGCCCGTCTTACTGGAGTCGCCCCAGATCGGTGAGGTCCAGTGGCCTGAAGGAGCACACCAGCTACACAGGCTTGCTGGTGTGTCTACACCATGGTCACTTCGGGAGCCCCGGGGTCATCCCAAATGTGACAGACCCAAAGGCCCCCCAGCTGTACCAAGGCCTGGCCCACCCATCTCCGCGTCTCTGTGAGACCAGAGTCCCTCCCATCCTGACTCGTCCTGAGAGGCTGGGCAGCAGTGCAGTGACAGGCCACGAGAAGGTGCCTGGCCTCTGTGAGGACCACAGGCCCGGCAGAGACAGATGGGAACGGCTCCCAATCCTGGCATCCACAGCACCTCCCTCCCACCCCGGGGAGCTGCTTTCTGGGGCGGGCTGGCGTTCACACCCGAGAGGCTAGAGAAACAACGGGGCAGGAGGAAGGAGACCCCAGAGGCCTGGCCCTGGCCTGCACCATCCACAAGAGGTGATGATCACTGTGCTGGGCTTAGAATCCAGTCACCCAACCAAGAATCTACCCTCCAAGCAACCCAGGATGTGCATGACGTGACGCGAGCACAAAGACAGACTCGCCCAGACCGAGGGAGGCCAGGGGGACGACTGGGTGAAAGGGGATCTGCGAGTGAGGCCGGGAAGTCCTCTGGGCTCTACCCTGCCCACCCGACCCTCCGAGACTGGGGGGCCTGTGTATGTGTGTGCACAGAGGAGAATTCCACGATGCGGAGAAGGGGGGCCCACGCGCTCTCCAAGGGGTGGAAGGCAGAGAGAGCTTCAAAGCACGAGGACCAACAGGGAGGGAGCAGGCGGACGGAGCCAATCCCACAAAAGCATCCCATGATCCCCATCGACCCAGAAAGGGGTGAGCGGCCACGCCAGTGAGAGGCCCGCGGGCAGCAGTGACTGATGTGGAAAAATGAAAGGAAGAGAGAAAGAAGAAGGGAGAGAGAGGACGGGACCCAAGGCTAGAGGCCAGAGGCCCTTTCTCCTCAGAAAGACCGAGCTCACTTATTTGAGAAAGGCCGCAATCAACCAAGAAGAGGGAAAACCACCCCACGCCCACAGATGGCACCCAAAGGTAGCCTGCGACAGCAGAGACAGAATCACCCCATTTGCTGGGTAAATCATCCCAATTTATACCAAGATTCAGAGCCTCACCCCTGATGCTGGAGGAAACCAAGGCCAGAGGGGCCCAGCCTGCAGGGAAGACTGAGGTCTGGGGTTCCCGAGGGGCTCCCTTCCTGTCCCACAGCATTTTTCTTTCTCTAGTCTCCAGCCCATCCCCGGACCCAACTCGAGGCTCTGACCTATCTCTCCTTCCCAACACCAGGCTCCCTGCCCTCCTCCTTAGGTACCTGGGGGCATCTCCACCCTCTCTGGACCACACAGGAGAGGCCACAAGGCCTTGCTTCAATGTCTCCTCCTGGGACAGTAGGGAAACGGGAGCCTTGAAGGCCGTGCCAATGACACTTGAGCTCTGTCCAGGCTGACCTCACTGGACAGGCAGTGTGGCTGGCCCCAAGGACATGGACTCTTTGGCCACAGCAACTCAGGGAGCAAAGAGTGGTCCACAGGGACCTGAGATCTGGGTGACCCTTTCTGCTGAGGACAGCAGAAGCTCCCCCCACATCCGTGGCCCTTGGGCAGCCATCTCATCAGACCCCATCTGCTGCTGTCCTGGACTTTGCCATGGCCTCACACAATGCCTGGCATATAGGAGGGACCTGATAAATGTTTATGAACGATTACTGATTCTTCTGCTTGGGTGGGTCTAGACACCCACAGCAGTAGGAGGCCAGCCTTCTCTAAACATGCCCTTAGAAGGTACAGCCAAGATGGCGGAGCCAAGATGGGAGGGAATATGTGGCAACCCAGCTGAACACTGCCAACGTTCCCTACAAAAAACTTGAAATAATGCCTCAAATCGAGTCTAAGAGAAGCAGAGCTAGTCACATGTCAGGGTGAGACATTTTTCTAACCCAAGACAACCTGGGAGGTTGGCAGAGAGACATGACCACAAGCAGGAGCTGGCATGGAGCACATGTGGTGGCACACCAGTGGTGGGTCGTGGACGTGGCGGCAGCAGCTTCACGAGTTCTCACACAGAGGCAGTGAGGGGAGCAGACAACCAGCTGGTCAGGGCTGAGCTGGCAACGGGCATGGGACCCCGCTGCACTGCCCACACACAGTTCTGGGCTATAGTCATGGTGCCAAAAGGGGCACTTGTAGTCAGTCACAAGGGACCAGGAGCAGAGGGTCCTTCTTGGGTAAAGACCAGAGGGCAGATCAGGAGAGCAGTGACCACACCTCTCCCCCAATCACATCACCTGAGAAGCACCAAAAACTTGCAGCTCCGAAGACATCAGCACAAAAAAACCCTGAAGCTTGGGACAATGCCCTCCTCCCCAGAAGGGAACACAGCCTAACTTTAACAGAAAGTTCAAAGTCAAGAAACAGGCTGGAACACCGAGCCAACAACAAAAAAAGAACCTGACCATAAAAAGCTACTATGGCGACAGAGAAGCTCAGGATACAATCTCAGGAGACGATGACGTGAAAACATCTAGGATGAAAGTCTCAAAGAAAAAATGCTAATTGGACACAAGCCCAGTAAGAATTCCAGGAAGAATTAAAGAAAGATGAGAGTGGTAGAAAAAATCTGGAAAAGAAATGAGAGGGATGAAAGAAAATTATGAAAAAAGAATTAACAGCTTAGTAAAAGAGGCACAAAAAATTCTAAAGAAAATAATGTCTTGAGGCACTAGGTGACGCAGTGGATAGAACACTGCCCTAAAGTCAGGAGGACCAGAGTTCAAATCCAGCCTCAGACTAAACACTTGACATGTACTAGCTGTGTTACCCTGGGCAAGTCACTTAACCCCAACAGCCTAAAAAAAAAAAAATTAAAGAAAATAATGTTCTAAAAATAGAACAGGGCAAGTGGAAGCTAATAACTCCATGAGATATCAAAAATCATGAAATAGGGGCAGCTAGGGGGCACAGTGGGTAGAGCACTGGTCCTGGTGTCAGGAGGACCTAAGTTCAAATCCAGTCTCAGACCAGACACATGACACTTACTAGCTGTGTGACCCTAGGCAAGTCACTTAACCCCAATTGCCTTGCCAAAAAAAAAAAAAATCATAAAATAAAGTCAAAAGAATGAAAAAGAAAAGAGAAAATGTGAAATATCTGATTGAAAAAACAAATGACCTAGAAATAGATCAAGAAGGATCATTTAAAAGTTATTAGACTACCTGAAAGTCATGATCAGAAACAGTCTAGGCACCACATTTCAAGAAATTATTGAGGAAAATTGCCCTGATATCCTAGAACCAGAGGGCAGAGATGCTTGAATCTCACTCTCTTTGGAATTGGCTTAAAGAGGGAAGAAGATCTATATGCACTCAGTTGGGTAGAAAGGTCTATCTTACCCAACATGGAGGCTCTGGTCAAAGGCAAAGCAGAAATCTCTTCTGCATGACTTCACGTGTATAACTGATGTCACATTGCTCGACTTCTCAATGGGTGGGGGAGGGGAGGAAGAGAGACAGAGAATTTAGAACTCAAAAGAAAAAAGAAAAATAATAAAATTGAAAACAGTTTTAAAAACAAAAACAAGCCATGTGCTTAGAAACCGCTGTCCCGGGGGTCCTGGGGGAGTGACCAGTGAGTCTCTGCAGGAACTGAATCCCCTCCATCTTGACCTTGTTGCTACCAGCAGGGCAAGGGAGATGCGAGGCAGCAGAGGACCCACGGGGGTCAGAAGATCAGAGGAAGGGACAGTCAGAAGTAGCTGGAGCTGAGATCAGGGCCGCCGGAGTCCAGATGAGCATCTGCGAGCCCCACAGGGAGGACGCTGCTGCCCGAATCCTGACCCAGGCGTGGCACCTCACCGACCAGCACGTGAGACAAGGGAACCCCAGGAGTCATGTGGAGGAAGCCAACGCCCACGGCTCAGGCAGCCCAAAGCCCAGACCCCGGGGACCTGGGGAAGTGGCGGCAAAGGGGGTTTGGAGGCTAATCCTGGGCACACTCAGGCCCCATGGGCGAGAAACCCCAACAGCAAAGGTCCTATCCCTGCAAAATCCAACCCGGAGGGAGAGGAGAAGGAAAAGGGAACAACGTTCAACCAAACCAGAGAAGACTTCTGAAGAACTGTCTGGGGTTCTGCTCTCCCAGGGGCTGACCTCTCCTCCTAAGAATGCCCCCACCTCTCATGTAGAGAACAAGCTGGCATTTACAGAGCACCTGCTGTGTGCCAGGAACCTCACACCACACCTTCCCCCAACTCCCTCCAGCCCTGCGCAGGGCGGTGGCCTAGGCCGGCTGCTGGGACCACAGTCTGAGGGAAAGGCTCCGGCCCGGAGTCCACTCACCAGCTGTGACGCTGGGCAAGCCAAAGCCCCATTCCGGGCCTCAGTTTCCTCAACAGAGACGACAGCACCTCCCTGGCAGGCGGGTTGTGAGGACCACAAGAGTGGGCACAGTGCCTGGCACACAGCAGACGTCGTACACAGGTTGAGCCCCTCCATCCCTCCTGCCCATCACGGCAGAGGCAGAAGCCAGGGAGGTCCCGTCCCTGAGCGCTAGAGTGAGGGCGCTTTGGTCGCCACCCCAGGGCGCCTGGAGAGATGAGAGGAGACCCACACTGACCTGGAGAGGGGCTGGCAGCAGCGCAGATCGCCTGTCCTCCTCCGGGACCTCCTGGGTGTTCCTCTCTTGGCAGAAGGGCAGAGCTGAGAAGAGGAAGACTGAGCTTGAGTGAGGCTCCAGGGAGGAGGTCCCCCATGCAGGTAGGGACCCAGGGACCAAGGCCTGGTCTATAGGCACACCACCATGTCGTTCCCCAGCCAAGGACGGGAGCTCGGGGGTCCCCGACAAACTCCTCTGCCTGGCACTAGGGGCCTTCAAGTCTCCCATAGCCTCTCTCCAGACCCCCTCCTCCTCCCATGGAATCGCTGAGCTCTAGCCCACGTCGGATCGTCCCGGCCCCCAGACCCTGTACCCAGAATGCTCCCAAGACCCTTGCAGGGCCTTCCCTGCTCAGGGCCCAGCCCCCATCACCGCACTTTTATCTTTACTAACTGTCCGTCACCACACTTCACTCCCTTGGGGGAGCAGAACGGGAGGAATGCAGGCATAGAAGGGCTCCAGGGGCCACCCTGCCTCTCCACACAGGGAAGGGGGCTCCTGAGCTTGCTCCTTAGGAGAAGGCACCAGGTGGTGGGCCCTTGGGGTGCTCCCCCTCTGCCCAAGGGTGTCCCGGCTTGGGGAGGATAAAGCGTGGCTGGGTCAGGCTGAGGGGCCCCCTGCCACCCAAGTAACAGTCTGGCTGCTGAAGGTCTCAGATAACCAGCCGGGAAGGGCTGAAGGCACGGGCCCCAAGAATGGGGTTCTGAGCCTTGGGGACGGCTGCTCGGACAACCCTTAGCTCACAGACTTGGAGGAGGGCCACGAAGCTCTGCTTTCTTCAACTAGGGCTGGGCGCCAGCGAGGCCCGGTGGAGCTCAGAGCCGCCCCAGGCCAGGGTCAGCCTCCTCTTCTCTCTTCAGGGGCCCTGCCTCCCCTGCACCCAGCTGGCCTGCCTGTCACTCCGGGCCAGTAGTTGACCTCTGGCCCTCCTTGCATCTGTGGCCATTCTCCTCCCCACCGGGGATCCTCTTTGTCCACTGGACTGTGCGCTCCTTGAGGGCGGGCGCTGTCAGAGCTGCCCGGCCACACGGCAGGTGCTCTGCCCTGTGTCTCCAGCTCAGCGATGTCTCTCAGGGTGCCCTGGCCTCCGGGGGCAGGAAGCCCTCAGCCCGCGCCACCACAGGGAGCACCCCACCACACAGGTGGGTACCTTTCCCTGCCTCAGTTTCCCCCACATTGCTCGAGGCTGTAATGAGTCTCTGAAGACAGCGCTCATGTTTCCCCGCGCCTTCTCTTCTCCTTCCTGATCTGCATGTTCTGCACTCAGGGCCCTTCTCTGCCAGAACCCAGTCTGCCAGGTGAGGGCAGCCGGACCCCAAAGCATCTCGAAACCTCCAAGCCTTATCAGCCTGATGGCTCACGTGGGGCTGGAGGTCCAGCCAGACCTCCAGGTCCTTTTCTCCCCACTCTAGGTCTTGCTCATCTTGTGATTTCTTTGGGTCCCACACGTAAGACTTGCCATTTATCCCTGCTCAATCTCTCCTGAGTGGCTCCGGGCCCCAAGCCTCTGTCAGGGAGGCTCGGCACTGGAGACCCCC